AAATAATGTGTATTTGTGGTAATAAAATTAGAAAGTAAAAAGACACTAAAGTACAATGAAAAAGGTAAATAACAAGTCTTCAATTTCAACAAATGAGACAAATACTAACGATGTTCCTTCACTTTCCTTTAAAAGCTCGTTTCACGTTTACTATTGATACCGAACACACATTCACACAGCAGTTCACCCACCCACGCCTTTGTGTATGATTTTGTGTATATTTCCATTCTCCCTTAGTATTAAATTTGTTTCCTGTGCCTTGGAGACCTTTAAAAATCTTTAAAAGAGTTACTAAATATTCTGCTATATGTTACATTTTCATTTCTCTAATTAGGTTTTATTTCATCGTGGTAACTAGTTCTTGCACTAACAAGAGAATGGAAACAATACGTATCAGCCATCGGTCCTTTAGTAGTGCAAATAAGGCTGAGGACAAGTAGAAAACACGTGTCAAGTATCAGGAAAGGAAAGTCAATTGCTACTGCTCATGAAAGTCTGGGAATCACGAAGCTGAGCTGGGTCTCTGAGTACATGGTGGAAAATCTAGGTCCAGGAAGGCCAGTGAGTGCCCAGCGCCAACCTCATTCCCCGTGTATCCCGGGAGGGTTACCTTGCATTCCTTATTTTCCTCACCCACAGAAACGAGGTGTATCTCATTCACTTCTTCCTTCTGTCTGAGGAGGAAGGGCTGATCCTTTACAGCTCAATTCATTTTATTTTCTTTCAGGAGGGAGTAAAATTGGGGAGATATTAAATTGTCAAGTCCTGGTGCAGCATAAGGTTAAGCCCTATCTGCTCTCTGCATATTTCAGTCTTTGACACCCTATTGCAGTAGTGCAGAGCGTTGCTCGTGGGCAACTTTATCCAGATTTCTGTTCCATCTGGCTTCTCATTGGGTTAACCCTGTCAAAAATCTTTAAAACGTATTAGCTTTAAAAAAGACATTCTGCATTTTAACTTATTTATGTATTTATTTTGATACAGTATTTCATTATGTAGTTCAGGCTGACCTTGAACTCACTCTGTAGCCCAAACTGGCCTTGAAGTCTCAGATGTCCTCCTCCCTCAGCCTCTCGACTCCTCAGATTGCAGGAATGTGCCATCATGCCCAATCCATGTTCTACTTTCTCACATCTGAAAATTAGATACACACTTGCTTGTGCACTTGAGCACCTATGAAATTATGCAAGATAAAAATGTTTTATTTAGTGGTAATATAGTACTACTAAACCTGTACCTTGCTACAGATTTTAATTCTCTCCTTGTTTTTTTACTGTTAAACATATAATTGAGCACATGTTATGTATCTTGCGAGTTTGTAGGCAAGACTATAAAAGCCGCTTTCAAGAGCATAAAATATAATTGCACTTGGGCCTCATTTTATGTTAGAGAAAGATTGCAGAAGCTAAGCCTCAAGTCAATAGCTGCAGACTACCGACCTTCAGAAGCCTATTTAAATAACAGACAGAACTAAGAGGCTTTTCCAGAGATGGCTCAATGTCCTTCCTCCCTCACAGAAATAGCAAAACTTCTCTTACAAACTAGTTAAGATCACTTTTTAATTACATGTTGCCAGTTCCCCCAAAGAAATGCTCTTTGTATTTGAATATCATTCCCTATCCTTTACTTTTGGGGTGAAGGTAAACTGAACAAATTGCATCTAGGAAAATACTGGTGTCTTTGTAAGACAGATTCAAGCATGCTTTTTACTTTGTCTAATAACTCTCCAATCAGTAATTGCATGCAAGATTTACTTTCAGGGGTTTGTTTTCTTTAGTGGTAAATTTCACTTTCATTTTAACTAAACTTTTAAATTGCATCACTTTTTCCCCGTGGCTCTTAGTAGCCAGAAGTTGAATTTAATATGAAATGAAACAAAATAAGATTAATTAATTTATGATTTTGTTGACGTATGTTTTGAACCTTTTAAACACATCTAAATATTCTTTTTTTTATGTGATTCCCCTATGTTTAAATAATATTTTCTAGAGTTTTTTGCTAAGTTTTCATTGCTTGACACTTTTTATACTGAGAAAAGTTGTTTTGGTGATAGAATTCAGTGGAATTGTATGAACCTGTCTTTTTTCCCTCTTGATACATGTTTTACTAGTTTGAAAGGCTAGAATAAGAGAACAAATAAGATCAGTGATGTAGCGATTTTGGGACATATTAGTGATTAAAAATATTGAGATAATCTTGGAATTTCCATTTTGCTTCCGATGGTTATACCCCCCACTGTCTTCATAAACTATTTTAAAATATTGGTAACCTTCTAATTCTGTCAATCAAAATTGTATCATATAAAAATATGTAGTGAAGAGAGATTGCACATTACATTTGGGAAGAAAAGCAGAAGTCTATTATTTATAAGTCTTTGTGTGTTAAATTAAATTTTCTTGTGTTCCCCTCTCATAAAAGGAAACTTGTTTGAAGGAATTATACCTCTTCATATTAAGTTTGCAATGTAAACAACAGTGATTGATTTGTGACTTTACCAAAGAACTATGAACCAAAATTATACAGCATTGCATCTGTTACATGAAAATTTCCAAGGAATTGTGAGACTCAAAAGATTAAATATAGAATCAGTAAAATATTACATACATGCACTAAAGTAGGTTACACACTACCACTAAATCAATAGGTGTATTCAAGAACAGATAAATTTATGATCATATGATTATAGAACAGAAGAAAATCTTATAGATTATTTAGTCTGTATTTAATATACACATCTGCCCGATTTCCCTCTACAGACAGCAATATCGCTCACACCTTGCTTCAATTAAATGAGTTCAGCATTTTCTTTGGATGCTAATTAAACAGCCCAGTGCTTGCCTCTCCTTTCCTCTGGAGCAAGCTTTGGATTCAAATCAGGTCAATAGTAGTGTACTTATGCTTAGGCCATGGAATATTAAATTAAAGAAGTGGTTTGCATCATACAGTCTAATGATACTCTGAAGCTTTTTGGTATTATGAAGCCTTGGATATAGTTACAGTGTTCAGTCTAAAATACAGACAAATTCAATGATAATAAAATGAGATTCATAAAGCATAGGAGACAGATACAGAAGTAAATATAGAGACAGGAAAACAAGCCAAAAGATAGATCAATAGATGATAGAGATAATAGGTAGATAGATGATAGATAATGACAGATATAGATAGATACACAGATAGATAGTTACATAGATAGATAATAGAAATACCTGGGGATAGGAAGATAAGTCAGTCTTTGGATCAATTTGTCTCCTATAAAGTTTACTGAGTTGTAAGAGTACATTTCTTGTTTAACCTCAACCAAATTTGCATGTATTTCATATTCATGTGACCATATAAACTTATCTATAGTTGTTTGAAGCAGTAAAGACTTTCCCTGATAACGCATGACCTAGGACTTGTTATTCACAAGTTGATCAGAACAGACAAAACAAGGGGAAAGGTGGGTTATCAGGAAATACTTATTTCTTCCATGCTCATGCCATAGCGGCCTTGGAAGTACTGAGGTCTCTTTATAGTTCCATATGGAGCTCTTAAAATGCTTGAACATTTGTATATTTTAAAATAAAATAAGATTTCGTAAAATTTTAGTCAAATTTTCAACTCATGCCTCCTAAATATCATAATTATAGATATGGGGAAAATCAGCCTGTTCATGCAGGCAAAACTTCTGGGATATCTCTTGACTATTCTTTGGCTTTTTATTGCCTTTACTTCTCTTGAATTAATCCTTTTTCTCTTCTTTCGGTAAACTTGCACAGTTTCTCTGTCACACGTGATGTTTAAGGAGATGTAATATATTGAAACAGTATTATATTACATGAAAATACACTTGCCTAGGAGAGAAAAAAATTAAAATGAAACTTGCTACAAAGACTAAGCCTGTAACATCTTGCATAATCCATAACATATCATTCAAGACAATTATAAAATAACTAACAATAAAATAACTGTATTTCTCTCACAATATTTTCTTCGTTCCAACCTGAAGTTTGAACAGGAATGTTGAATAATTAACAATATGAACTCTTAAAACTTTCTATAGATTTTTTTTCATCCCCAGAATCTGATAGTATTTATCTGGCAATATTGCTACAGCAAAATACCACGGACTGGTGGAGGTGAGAAAAGCAGAAATGTATTTGACTCATAGTTCTGTTGCCTGGAAACCCAACAATATAAACATGGCGCTGGCATCTGGAGACCTTGCTACATCATAACAAGGCTGGATGCGTCACTTGGAAAAAATAAGAGAGGAGAGAGAGAAGAGAATTGAATTTAATTTACTAGCAAATACACTTTCTCTGCATTAGTGTTTTAATGAGAACAGAGCCTTCATGTCGTATCTATTACTTAAATTTTCCTACCTGTGCACAACATTGCATGAGTATTAATTTTCCAACACATAAACATAGGGGTACACAGTAAAACTGAATCTGTAGAGAGACATTCTTTAAATTTACAATGAAGAAAAAGCTTTGCATTTACATGTTAATTTACTTTTTATGAAATTGAGCAGTTAAATACATTATTTATGCAGGCTGACTATTATTAGAGTATGAGAACTTCCTATTTACCAATAAAAATTATAGACCTCCCACATACTAGAATTACTGCAGGTATCACAAATATCATTTCCTTTCATCAATGATGACATCATGGTAAAATGTGGGCTCAATTAATAATTTCATGCATTGATTAAATTCCTCACAATAAAAATTGACCTCCCTATATGATAATAGCAATTTTATTTCTTGTACTTAAAGCATTAGCCTGAGAAAGACAAGTTGTATTTCTAAGACTGTCAGAGTCCATATAATGTCAGTAACCTCTTTAAAAAAACACCAACATAAAAAAAAAAAAAACTCAGTATGTTGTCACTTCCAAAACCATCATAAAGATGTTCATAGCAGTATTGTTTATAATGTACAATATTTGGAAACAATCAAGATGCCCTTAATTTATTAAATAATTGAATAGAAAAAAAACAGGAATTTTTTTTTTAGACAATGGATATTATTAGCACTATAAGCAAATGAAATATTAAGCCATGAAAAATAAAGGAACCTTAAATATATATTGGTAAGTGAAAGGAGCAATCTGTGTTCTTTTTTGTTGTTTGTTTGCAGGGATTGAACTCATGACCTCACACTTGCCAGGCAGGCACTTATGCCACTGAGCTTAATCCCCAGCCCAAAAGGATTAGTCTGAAAAGGCTAAGTACTGTATGGTTCCAACTACTTTACATGAAATTCTGGGTGAGCAAAGTTATAGAAGCATGGGAGTGCAAGTGGTTGCTATCAATTGGGCTTAATAAGTGAATAAAAAGAACTCAGGATTTATAGGGCAGTACAAATATCATGTATGATAGTGCAGTGATTACAGTGCATTATGTTGGTCCACATCCTTAGATAATAAGGAGCAAATCCCAATGAAATTGGGGCCTTTGAGTAATGACATTGCATTCTCCAGGGGACCTCATTTACAATAGATCAGTCACTCTGCTGGAGCTACTTAATGTTTGTCAACAAACTTAAGGTGGTTTGATATTCCAAATTAATGAGGCTTCTAGAATTTACTTTAAGCTATTCTATTGTCATGACAAACCTGTTTAAATACATTCTGTCCTCAGTAATGGAAGAGAAAGGAGATTAAACAGGGAGAATGGAATTGAAATTAGTGATAGCAAGTCTCTTGGGAGATGTTGCTTCCGAAATAAAATAAATTTTATTGTATTTTGCCACAGACAGATGATTTTTTTGTTCTTAGAGGATTATTAGTCTCTGTTGCTTAAAATAAAGCTTTTCCCCTGAGTGTTTTCAGTTCTTTCCTTAGAAAAAATAAATTACTTTGTAAGAATATTCTCATAGTAACATTTCAAATTGTTAATTGGAAATAAGAAAATTGTGTATGTAACTTTTTGTTTTTAACAAGCCACTGTGATTACATGGTTTGCAACTGGGTTCTGGTCTCCCTTACATTTAGGAAATTTGAACAATGCTGGGCAGCTTGTTACATATTGTATTTTTATTTAGTGAAATGTTTTTGTTCTGAGATGATCACAGAAATATATATATACCACAGAAAGGCCCTGTGCACCTTTTACCCAGTTTCCACCTGCAGTAGCATCCCACAGAATAATATCCTGTAGTATCACAGCCAGGAGTTTAGTACTGCGATCAGATGTCTCCATTTTATCCCTGCATCAGGATACATCACCACCAGTGCCACAACCACCTGCCGTTACACTGTATGTCTCTATAAAGGGCAAGTTGTCGCCTGTCTCACTTTATGCTTGGACCATGACAGTCAGTAACTGCATCTCCTGCATTTCTGTAATTTCATGGTTTCAGAAATGCCATATAAATGGCACCATTGTCTATGTAACTCTATGGGATGTACTCTTTTTATATGTTTTCACACGATATAACTCACCTGTTGTATATCTAAATAATATCAATTGTCTGTTCATTTTACGTGATATTTCATGTTATAGATATACCACAGATGCTGTAATCATTACCCTTTGAAGACTACCTAAGCCCTCAGTTTAGACTATGGTCAACTGCCATGCACAGGGGTTTTATGTGATCACTTTCCTAAAATAAATGTCCAAAATGCAATATCTTAGGTATATGATGTCTCACATATATGTGGCATATTTAAAATAAATAACTAAATCTTGGATATAATCCACATGTCCACCACTAGAGGAATGGATAAATAAAATGTGGCATTTATATGCAATGGATTATACTACCCTGTCATAAGGAAAAGTAAAATTGAGATATTATAGGAAAATAAGATATATATAGGAAGACCAGAATGTTAAGGGAAACGAATCAGACCTATGAGCTTAAATGACATATAGTTTCTTTTATACAAGAACATCAAAGCACAAATAAAGAACAAAAAAGATGAATATAAGAAGTATGGAGAAAGATCTTTTGCAAATGGGAAAGAGACCAAGAGGTGGAGGAAGAGGGAGGGAAGGAAGGAGAGAGATGAAAATAGAATTCAGATGTGTTCTGTGTATGTATCAGTTCCCCATGAGGAATGTAATCATTTTGTACTACTGCAGACATGCACTGCACTGGTGAGAACAAAAATTAACAACAACAACAACAACAACAAAAAAAAATAGAGACAACAACCCTGGGCTTTAACTCACTGATGTATTTACTAAATAAGTATTGCATGTTTTTAAGTAAAAGGTCTGTTATCTCTTCTATCATATTAGCTTCTTAGACTACAAGAAAAAGATAATCTCTCAGTGAACTTTGAAAAACATTTTGGCCATCATCTAATAAAATTAAACACAGATTTTAAATCTCAACATTTACTGCCCAAAGAATTTACCTAAACAGAATGAGTGTACCTGCTCATGAAACGACACATGCTGTAATGTCTCTAGCCTCAGTTTTCAGACACCTAAGACAAAAACAAAACATAAAACCCTTGAAAACTACTCAGATTCCCATTGAGTGTAAATTCAATAAATAATTTATGTCCTGCCCAAGAATGCAAAATTACACACAATGAGAATCAATGACATTTATTATAAATCATTAAGGGTGTATTTCCTAAATGCAATTTTGAATGCAAGAAGCCAGACACAAATATATACCCTCTATAGGATATTTATATAAAATACAAAAGCACAAAAGTAAATTGTGTTATTACAAATTATGAGAATATTATTTCATGTAAGATACTGAGAGTACCAGAGAGGATTTCCCTTTTAATTTGTTGTGATTCTCATAATTTTTCCAAGAGTAATACCTGGTTGGTTTATATTATTTTGTTTGTTTATTGTTTCTTTGTTTGTTGTGGTTGTCGGGATTGAACCTGGGAACTAAGTCCCTCTAACACTCAGCTACAAGCCAGGCCAAAATGCAACAGAGGACAATGATGCAGTTTTGTGGATCAGGAGGTGGGCGTAACCCAGCTGGATCTTGCTCCTCTTTCTCTCTTTCAGGAGGATGTAATCATCTCACCATTTGGCTCTAAAGATTCATTCTAAGTTAGCACATGTGATTCTGGGCAGGACTCAGTTAATTGAGAGTTATTGGTCCTAGAATGTCAATTGTTTGCTGACTGCTGCTGGACGGCTAACTTCAGTTTCTTGCCTCCTGGATTCCACCAACAAAACATGCAGAATCACATCCAACAGAAGAGGGGGCTGTGGTAGCAAAATGGAAGTCATGAATTTTGAGATCTCATCAAGAAATTGACACTCTGAAATTTTGCCAATAGCTGTTGGATACAAGCTAATTACTCAAAGACAAGCGATAGTGTAAGTGTACCAATACCAGAAGACAAGGGAGCATTGTGGGCCATCTTAGGGTCCACCTTGTTATCTTTGTCCAGAGGTAGCAGGATACACACACACATACACACATGTACACAGATAGACATATGTCTAGTAATTAATTCTCCATTATGTTTCACTGAGTTACATATTGTTCTTGTGCTAATACCATAATATCTGGAATATTATGTTGTACTAAACATTGCAATTAGATGTAAGAATGCTTCCAGCACTAGTATCACTTTTGGATATTTTTTTCTAAGTCCTTTCCATTTCCTTATGTAATTAGACTGATTTTGCACTTTTGTACAAAAATATCTGCTGAAAATGTGGTTATATTCCAATTGAATATATAATGTTACAACTGATATCACAAAATTTTCTTACAAACCATGAACTAGATATATAATTTTACACATCCCATGTTTTGTGGTTTTTCAGTAGCAAAGTCATATTTTTAGTTGTTGAAAATGTCATGTTTTCTGAAGCTAATGTGAATAATGTTTTATTTCGCAGTACCCAAATAATCATCAATCCTAGGTGGAGGTGGTAAGTGATCCATATTCTACGATCTCAACTAGCTCCTTTTAATTTCTATGAATGTAATCATAGTATATGAAAACAAATAATTTTATTTCTTTAGTTGCAAAATACATGATTTATTAAAATTTGTGACTACAGTGTTGAGTAGAAATAGAAAGACACGGAGACAGACAGATAAGAAAATATTCAGTTTTGTACCATAAATAAAAAAAAATTTGTTAGAGATTTGCAGATGCCCTTTATTAGACTAATGAAGACCTCGTCTTTGTTTGTCGAAAGTTCTTTATTTCAAAGAGTTTTTTTTGTTGAATGTGAAATTCTAGTTTTATAATTTTATTGTTTTGAATTCTTATATTTTCTACTCATTCCTTGCTTACATATGATCTAAATAAAAGTCTCAATAGTGTTTGTTTTAATCTCCTTGCACATATGATTTCTCTTAATTCCTACTTTTAATATATTTGTTTTATTGTTATTGTTTTAGCTGTTTAATGATTAATGGTGATAAATAAATCTTTTGCATTTGTTGTTTTCCTTTTCTTATGATTACTTAGCTCCTTGGTTTTGTTAATTTAAAGTTTTAATTCGTTTTAAAAATATTCAGTCTTCTTTTTTCCTTGAGTTATATTTTTGTGCCTTTTATTTTCTTTCTTTTTCTGGGGAAGGTGGATAGGAGATTCTAATAACATATTAAACCAAACCAAATATTTTTAACCCAATTAGTCTTCTTTCCTTCCTCTGTTTTAGTTGTTTTCTTTTCATGCTTCCTTTTGGATTTCTGCTGCTATATTTAAGTATCAGCTCTGTGTAATCTCATTAATCTCACTCAATAAAATTACCATTTCCAGTACTATACTGTTTATTTATAGAAGTTCCATTTATTTATTTACTGTCTTCTACCATTTCACTTACTGTATATTTTCTCTCAATGAACGCAGTTAGTATTTTAAAGATCTTTCTCTGATATTTATATTGTCCCTGGGATTTCCAGATCTATCTGATTTATTGATGTTTTCCCTCTGTAAGTACTCCACGTTACCTTATCATGTCGTAATTGATTAAGTGTTGGATATTAGCGTGCACAGAATTTTCTTCCTCCAAAATTTGTATGATGAAGCTCTATCCCAAATTTGATGTTGTTTGTGGACAAATTCTTGAAGAAGATAAAGATTCAATAAAGTCCTACAGCACTAGTCCAATCTGACAGGATTAGTGTCATTGCAATAAAGAGAGTAAATGCAAGGGTTTCTTTCTTCCTCTTTTTTTTTTTTTTTAAATATATGTGCAGGCTGTGAAGAAAGAGAGTGACAACAGAGCGAGTACACATCCATCTTCCAACCAAGAAGAAAACTATCCCGTGCATTATGATATTCTAGCCACAGGACAATTCAAGATTCTGGAAATGTTAGATTCTTAAGAACTGTAAGAGTCTGCACATGAGAAAGGGGTTATGGAGGAAAGGGGACACAAAACAACTCAGATGTACCAAGCACCAAATATGTGAAAGTAGTCATTGAATATCACAAACATGTACAGAAATAAGTAATTAAACAACCATAAGAAAACAAGCAGTTTAAGCCACTGACTGTGTATTTAGTCCCGGTTGCTTGGGCACACTAATACAGATGTTACAAACGCCATATTGCTGATCTTGTCTTTGTTTAATCAGTGCTGTTTTCTATTACGGATGCGGTTAGTTACGTGTGGTTTAGCGTGACTCTCTCCAGACTGCTAATGCTTTATTAAATTGGTCTAAAATACCCTACACTGAACAGACAGTTCGGTCTGGTTAGAAGGCCTGTTCCTTCGGGGGATTCCTCTAATTGTGGCCTTGATTGCTGACTGGTTGGAACTCTTCTCTCCTATACAAGTTTCAGGAATTGCTGAGCTTGTAAATCTCCTGACTGATTTTACACAAACGAGTGGAATTTCACCCCTGCCATGTGCTGCAAATGCAGGAGCCCGTGTGCAAACCTGGATGTCTTTTTCTGCGTAGTTTCTTCTTCTTCATCATTTTTCTTCTCAATATCCAACCACTTGACATCTCAAACTCTGACCCCTGTCTCTTCATGTTAGGAAGTCTGCTGAATTACGGTTGAAGTTTTCCCCAGTGACCCTCTGTATGGAAATTGCTGCTGAGTACACAGCTCTGGTAATCACAACCCTCATTTCACTAGTTTCCCTCCTTCTGGGCTCGTACTGCTGTGCTTCTCGGTGTGCAGTTTCCAAAACAGTGATTTTATCCATGTTGTGCTCTTTGGTATTTGTTAAGGTTGGAAGTTCATACCCCTCTGCAGATCTGGAGCATTAGACTGAGCATCATTAGCGTGTATCATTATGCTACATGCATGTCTGGTAGACATCTCCCCATATGCCAGGCTTTGCTTTTTTTTTGTTTAAAGTAGCCAGAAAAAAAAGTCTTTCACAGGAAACTTCAAGGAAATGAAGTGGCAGGGTATGAGCACTTCATCCACCCAAAGGCGGAGGTTTGGGATTACAAGAGGTGTGAGGGCCTCTGCTCTCAGCACCCCACGTGGCAGAGGGGTGCACAGTGAGCCTGCTGAGGACTGAAGAAGAGGAGGCTGCAGAAAGCGAGGTGAGATCTGAGGACCCAGAACTCGGTTCTTGCTCCTGTAAGCTGAGCACTCAATGCAGGCTTGAGTGGAGCCTCACATGTTCTGACTTATATTTCTAAAAGAACCACTCAGGCAGACTCTGTAAACATAAAAGGTGGAAAATAATGTTATTATTGATAAATTAAAATGTTCTCAATGTGCAACATACTTGCTATTTGACAAGCAATAGTCTAAGTACTTTACGTTGTCTATTAATTCATATACTATGTAATTTAATCATATAAGTCATACAATTATATATTCCTAATTAAATTATAATGTGCAAGCATTGCCCCTATTTTAAAGGTGAGGAGAGATATAAGGAGACTTTAAAATTTCTTTAAGGTTTCACACAAGAAGTAAGTAACAGGCAACATGCTCATAAGCCCTGCTGTTTCATATGAAACTTGGTCCTCTACTTTCAGTACATTAAAGAGTAACGAAGCTGTAAAGAACCAAAAACAAAAGGTAGTCTTTTTGCTTTGTGCCCCTTGTAACCACTAATTTTATTTTATTTCTTTCTGGACTAGAATAAGCCATAAACTAAAGAGGTGTAATAATTTCTGAAAGTGGCTTACAAAATTATATAGAAACTTTAAAATTCCAAGAGAACTGGAGATAAGAATGATTTTATAACAAGGAGTTGAATTAGAACAATATGAAATTATGAATCAATCGCTACTGCTACTATTTTAAAAATGTATCTTATATTTTAATAAAAACTTCAGAAAACATGACAATTAAAAGAAAAATATTTCTCTTGAAAAATGCTATAACTCTTAGAATGCATTGAGGCCAAGAATACCTGAGTGAGTTTATTGCCTTTGGAATTCAATATTGTTATCATTTTATTCCATTTCTGTGAAAAGACAATTTTGTATTGAAAGATATGTCATGGCTCTCAGAATCAGAAAGCCATTTTTATTCCTTTAAAAACTCTATAGTGGAATCAATGATCTAGTTTGTATTTACAAGTAGGTAACCAAAAATCAGCTTTATACTTTTACAGCAAGTGTACATAAATGGCATATTTATTCAGGATATTTTTTTTTATTGATACTGGGGATCAAACTCACGACCGCGCACTTGCAAGACAGGCGCTTATACTGCTGAGCTAAATCCCCAGACCCCTCTTCAGGCTCCATTTCACTCTGGTACTTTTAAGCTCTCTGCTTCTTGGAATTAAGCCATGTCTTGAATATTTTAATGTTTTGTATTTTATACAGTAAACAAATTTTCTATCTATTAATTATATTGGAAGTATATACATAAAATCCTTATTGGTTATGATATTGGTTGTCTTCAAATTTGAATGTCATATCTAAACAATAAAATGGCATTTTCTTTCACATATATACAAAATATTACTTACTTATTGTTTGAGACACTCTACAAATATCTGCAATATTCCAGAATCTGTAGGGTAAGAACTATTTCTGTTATACACATAGGGTCCCTGGTGTAATCTACACAAACCACAGGCTTATTCAGCAGTTGAAACTGAGATTAAGTCAAAGACTATTATTATTACAAATCCTTAGTGATTATCATATTTAGTGAAGATAAACATCAAATGATTTCATATTCCAGTTAATAATTTGATGAGTACATCAAGACTGGTATTGCTAAACTTTCACAATTTCTTCAAGGCTAAATGTATATTTCATTTAATTTTAAAGTGAGCACTTAAAAACCCACTAGCTATATGCATCCTCCATACATATTCTGAATTTCTAAAATTTACCTTCTGTGTTTCTGGCTTAACAACTACAAGCATAAGTGCACTACTTACACTGATTTTAGTGACTGTTTTTCTGTATTATTATATTGCATATATTCTGTGTATTTATCGATTATACGTAAGTATTATTTTGGAAGAAAGAAATTGTACATTTACTTAGGTAAAAAATTGAGTTGTAAAAAATACAATAAACTGGTTGTACTACTAAACAGAATTAGGATTTTTATTTCTGTAAACTATTTCCCCAGGCTCCTTTGGCATCATCGAATTACTTGCCAGAAAAGGTGTGACATATGTAAATATTATATCAGGTGGGAACATATATTTGGAACTTAGTGTTCATAATTTTTATTGTTTTTAATTATCTGTATTTTTTTTTTTAGTTTTACTGCTTTGAACTTAGAAAAGCTTCATCTTCATGAATAGTGATAGAAAATGAAAAACTCCATTTTTGGAATGTGATCACACCAAATGGGTGTGAATTTTTGACATTTTCATTTCCTATACAGAGGATAATGTCATTTGAATATAGGCATTTTGAAAAGTTTATTGAATTAATCCAGGGAATAAAGAGGCACATTTAAATCCTATTGTAAATATTATTGCATTGATTCATGATTTTATAGTTCGAGTTTATTAGTATAACGTCTATGAGAATATCATAAAAACTTCACAGTCTAAACTTTCTAAAATTTATCTTTTTATTGTAAATGTGGCTAAGTAATCCACATCTGAAAATAATATTTTCTCCTTTTCTATAAAAGAAAAGGTAGCAAAAGCAGAGGTTTCCTACTGCTATCTTAGTAGATTTAGTTATCTGTGCTCCAGATGACAACTGGTGACATCCAGTGACTCAATTTGAAGTCTTTAATTTGGGGTTTAAATACAGATATTTTCCTCCTGATGACTGACGTGTATTGTCTGGACGGCATCCAGACAGACAATATTAGTCTTCAGCTTCTTTGTAACTTGGCATTGAACAAGCTTAGTTGGGTACTTTTTGTAGGAAAGAAACTTGTCTATCCAGAACATTTAGCAAATGAAGAAAGATTTCAATAATAGCAAGACTTCATTGTATAACAAAAATTACCTATTACACAAATATTAATGGATGCTTATTGCAGTAGAAATTTTGAGCTTTTAAGGTAAAACAATGAAGACAAACTCTAACAAATTTTCCTCCAATTGAATTTATAGTAGACTGAGGAAAACTGATATCAATCAACTAGCAAAAATGCACCAAATAATTTAAATGCTGTGAAAGCCTCAATATTCTCAAAAAATATCACCACAAGTAGAAAGATTACCTTAGGAACATACTAGAAATTTCTACAGACTGAATAAATGATGAAAATATAAATTTATCTTTACAATATCCTGTTTGATGGAGTGGTACTGAAAAGTAATATGCTTTAGAGATAAGCCCACTGAAAACAAATAAAGGAGTCTTGGACATTTTTACCTTCAATTTTCAACTTTTGCATGGTTAGCATTTTCCATAAGGTACAAAGTGTTTCATATTGATTAAAGAGCCTTGCCAAGGAGGAAATCACTTTAAGTAACTGTCTTAGAAAAGACATAAAGCAATTGTTTTGCTCCCACCTCATTTCATCATTATGCCTAAAAAAGATGTACAAAAGAGACTGAGTGACCTGTCTGTCCACAAGCCCGCAACCTTGGGTGCCCACTGCACGCAATTGTCAGTGGTGCTTTTATTCAAAAGCATCTTTTGATTTCAACAAAAGGTCATTGCAACTGTTAGTTTGATTGACTCCTGGGGGAAAATGTGGCAAATGTAATGGTGCAAACCAACACAAACACTGTCACACAGGGAAAGCCCTCAGAATCAGCACCCAGGCCTCACTGGGCAGGGTGAAGGTTCTGCAGGGCAGCACTCCTTCCAGAGGTTCTCGGAGAAAGTCCAGTTCCAGGGCTCCTTTCGCGTATTCATCTTTTTAAAATGTTGTTGTTAATATATAATATACCTGTATATGATAAGTCTTGCCCCCCCCCAGTTCTCTCCCCTTCCTTCAATCTCTCTTCACTGCCTCATTACCAGAAGCTTTGTTTCCATTTTTCCTTCTATTCTCCTTTTTTGTGTTCCCTTCTTTCCTCTCCCCCTCCCAATTCCATCGCTGCTCATCTTATTTGAAGATTTTGTTCCCCTTTCCCACACTCTATTATAGATTCTGGTCCTTATTTACACTCTCAGTTTCTCACACCACAGAAACAATGCAGTATTTAAACGTGTGTGTATTATTTATTTCACTAACATTGTCTCAAGATGAATCCATTTACCTGGGCATGTCTCAAGTTCATCCTTCAGTATGGCAGAGTTATCGTCTTTATCCATTTGTCTGTTGATGGACATTTACACTCTTTCCAAGATCCAGCTATTGCACCCGTGCTCCCAAAAACACGGCTGTGCATATGTTGCTGTGATATGATGCTTTTATTCTTTCAGCAAGATTCCAAGAAGGGGAATAGCTGGGTAAATGGATCCTCTAATTTTAGACCTCTACAATGACAATGACAAAACACTAAAAAGGGAGACTGGAGAGTATCTGAGATTCTTCATCTCTCACCCGAACCCTGGCCATAATCTCTCTCGCTTCCTCCAGCCAGCAACAGTGAGTGAAGTTCTCAGAGTGGATCACCAGGCTCTGACTTCTCAGCTACTTGCCTGGTCACTTTTAAGAACTTTGTGATTGTCTTGAGTACTTTTATGTAATTCAGGATAATCTCCCTATTTTAAGATGAGCTGCTAAGCAACCTTAATTTCACTACAACTTCAATTCTCGTTTGATCTATAACACAGCACATTCACAAGTTCTAGACATTAGGAGATAAGTGCCTTTAAGAACCCTTATTATTCCTGTCACATAGACCAACTCTTAAATCCACAGTTATTTACTATTAGTTTAATTATGTGTGATTGGGTAAATGGTAGATATTAAAGCAAATTGTTGGGTAACTCTCATAAATGTGTGCTACCCACTGTAAGAAACTAAGAAAGAATGCTGACCCTGTGTTATTTGTGCCCCAAATAAACAAAATCACTTTCAAAATGTTCACAATGTAAACATTTGTGTATATTACTTTCTAAGATTTTGAAGAATATTTTAATATTATTTGGTTTATTTGATCTTTGGAAAATATGGACAATGAATAATTAAAAGAAAATATTACTGCTTCCATATTATAGGTAAGGAAACAAAAGCTCATGAAATTTAAGAACTTACAATATAATAAGTATGGAACAATTCATCTTTGTCTGTTTTCCACAAACTCCACTTATTTAAAGATGGTCCTGGCAAATAGGTGGCTAATATAATCTTTACATGTAAGGAGAAAAGAGTGAGAGAGATTCTTGGTCTGTACTTTATTCTAAACAGTAAGAAATAGAAGACTGGAAGGGAATTGCAATGGGAGAAGATCCAGAACACATTTCATGTGAAGTCTTAGAAATTACGATTGTCCATATCTCCTATTTAGCCTTACTTGAATATGTATCTTTCACAAGGAAATGTTTCATAAGGAAATATGAGATAAATAATGTACACATCGCAACTTTTACATTTATACAGTAATAGAGGATCCATTAATAACAAAAATAATAATAATAATGCATGGCTTTCAAAAGTAAAATTCTGAATGCAGCCACAATGATCTTGAGAAGAAAATAATAGGTTATATAACAAGTTCAGCTATTGAATGCACAAAGGGTAGACTAGAGTATTTATAATTCAAGATAATTATAACAAGCTGACATAAAGCTAAGAAAACATTTTAAAGGAAGGCTAGTATAAATGATTCTTGTGAAAAAAATGTTAAATGACCATAAAATGACTTCTAAGATTATTATTACTGTAAGACAAAAATACATAATATGTACCTAGTTAACTTAAAAGAATCCTTACTGTTCACATATGATCAAGAGTTATGTTTTTACCTTTCTCAGGCAAGGTGGGTATCTACTCAGAAAAGAAAAGCCAGAATCAGCATTGATGAAGGTGATTGGAAACCCATGATAGGAGGGGAAATTTTAAGATAGCACTTAGTTGCTCTATGAAAATGCTTAGATCCTGACCTGGATGACATCCATTCAAGAATGCTCAGAAAGAAACAGAAGACAAAATTTCTGAAGAGCTGTCAGCTGTCTTGGAGACAACAGGAAGAGTACAAAGGTGGGGAGCTGAGATGAAATGACACCATAACTTTCAAAATGAGCTGAGGTGACTATTTTGC